ACAGACCAGCAGGCAGGCAGACCGACAGACCAGCGGGCAGACAGACCAGCAGGCAGGCAGACCGACAGACCAGCGGGCAGGCAGACCAGCAGGCAGGCAGACAGGCAGACCATCAGACAGGCAGACCAGCAGGCAGGCAGACTATCAGACAGGCAGGCCGACAGACCAGCGGGCAGGCAGACCATCAGACCGACAGACCAGCAGGCAGGCAGACCGACAGACCAGCGGGCAGGCAGGCCATCAGACCGACAGACCAGCAGGCAGGCAGACCGACAGACCAGTGGGCAGGCAGGCCATCAGACCGACAGACCAGCGGGCAGGCAGACCGACAGACCAGCGGGCAGGCAGACCAGCAGGCAGGCAGACCGACAGACAGCCAGACCAGCAGGCAGGCATACCGACAGACCACTAGACACTTTATTGATCTTAACAGAAATTCAGGCATTCAGTAGACATATATGGGGAGACTAAGAAGCTCATTTAAACCAGGGCTTAAAACATTTCAGTTTGCTGCAGCTTTTCAATAAATTAAATCAGTTTAGTCATACACTGTCGCTAAAATATAACTTATTTCTTTTATCTTATTATTTTTATTTTTAGACATTATGATTAATGTCTTTTATTTAAATGTGTTCTGCCTTTCCAAAGCACTTTGAATTGCCTTGTGTCTGAATTGTGCTAAATAAAAAAACTTGCATTGCCATCACTCACATTGTTGCTGGATCACCTGAGATAAACACGGTGCTCATATCGCTGATTGCCTGTACTTCTTGCTCATTCAAGGCCTTATCCCTCTAATTCTGATGTCGCAGTATGTCATTCTTGAAAGGAGGTCACATCAAATTTATATTTGTTATTCACCTTGGAGGGATGATTTGCGAATCACAGGAAGGCTTCTGGACTCAAACGGAGTCAGTGCCAGCTTGTGTGTGTTTGTTGTGTGTGTGTTTGTATGTCCGCACAATGCCTAAAACGTGTTACTTTTCAGCTTGTGACTGCAATCAAAAAACTAAAACTGCCAAAAGTCTAATATTTTCTCTGGTTACTTATGGTTAAGGTTAGAGCTGGGTAGGTGTTAAGGTCATCATAATTAGGGTTAGGGTCATGCCCATAGAAATGAACACAGCATCCCCACAATGACGGGAATATATGAGCTGAGCATGTGGGTCACCTCCAGCAGGTCGATCATGCGGGTCATCTGCGAGTAGATCAGCACACGGTGCCCGTGCGACTTCAGCCGCGTCAGCAGCAGGTCCAGCGTGTGCAGCTTCCCACTGTCAGTGATCAGCGCCTCCTTGTCTGTAACGGGATGGGTACATTAGTGCTTTTAGCCAGAACTCTGAAATCAGCAAAATAGATTTTAGTGGGTTGACTATGACCTGCATCTACCAGACTGATCAAAAGAAAAATCCAAAACAAGTTAGTGTCACGAAGTATTAACATTGTTATATATGACATATTTCAGTCATTTTTTCATCCTTTGAAACAGGAAAAGTGACTCGTTTAAACTGCCATCGTTAACAATTCAAAGCACTGCTAAACAAACAGCCTCTGTAAGCATTTTTGTTTGTCTGCCTTCTAGAATTCTAACAGGCAGAGACATACAAACAAAAACATGTAACATCAGCACCAACAACACAAACAGCTACTGACAGCCATGACTGGAACTGTTGACGAGAAGCTCAAAGCCAGAAAGGAGTCAGCAAGATGGTGATGTGATCACATGATGTGATGGCACGTCATGTCATATATACAAATACAAAGACAGGACACAAAGTCCTAGGGGCATGATGGCAAGCAAGAGCGAGGAACATACGATAAATACGGGTACACAAGGACAGCAGCACACCCCCACCCCAGGCCGAGC